CGCACGAACTTCATAATCGACTCGTTCTACCTCTCGAGGGCTGGACTCCTGTCATATGAGACACCGTTAGCTCTGTCTGAGTATCTCAAGAGAGAGAAACATTTGACGCCATGGAGTGTTGCCATCAGTATGTTTGCGCCCATCAGGAGATACTTGTCGTCAACTGAACACAAACTCAATTTGGATAAGTTTTTGAGTGGTTTGGCTGAACCCATATATACAGAGTTGGGTTGGGATGAGACCACTGAAGAAACAGATGTGACAAAGAGATTGCGATCAAATGTCGTTGATTTTTACTGCTCTAATAATAACGACGAGTGTATTAAAGGCATTCAACAGAAGTATTACGCCTGGAGAGCGGATCCTAAGGGTGCAAAAATTAGGCCAAACATTATGACAACTGTCCTCAAGTACTCCATCAGATTGATTGGTGGGACCAATGATTGGAATTATTTATGGGATGTTTATATGGCAGAGACGTCAACTGTACTCAAACTCACATATCTGAACGCACTTTCATTTGCATCTGATAAAGATCTCATTAACAAGTTAGTTTTATAATCATTTATTTTTCACATTTATCAATTAATTCTTGTTTCAAATTATTGATTATAAATTTACAATTTATTTATTTGTTTAATAGGCTTATAGAGTTGTCATTAGATGAGACAAAAGTGCGAAAACAAGATTTTCTGTCTGTTTTCAATAATATTATCGCAAATCCGGATGGTTTGCAAGTGATGTGGGATTACTATCGCGACAATTATGAGACACTACTAAACAAACACTTAAGTTCCGGTCAAATGGGAACTGTTGTCAACAATATCTGTAACTATTTTAATGATGAATCCCGAAGAAAAGAGGTTTTATTTGCAATATATTAGTGTTTATAATGTGGTTGTCTATAAATATTGTATGTCTTAACCACTATTCAGGTGAAAGACTTCTTCGATAAGTACCCGGAGGTCGGCGTCACTCAGAATGAGAGGAAGAGGGCGTTGGAGACGATTGACTCAAATATTATTTGGATTAACGCTAATAAGAAGTTTATTGGCGATTGGCTCACAGCTAAGACGGTTGGCTACTATTTACTATATTAATGTCAATTTAAAGCTAATTAATTGTTATTTTTTAGACTGGATCTAAAAATATAGACTTATGGGCCAAACATAAGACTCGATCAAAAGGATTGTAAAAAGTTTTTGTAAAAATGAATTCAACGATTATTATAGATAATGATTATAGGGATTATTTTTAGTCTTATTAATTCATAACAAGAATTCCTAATTTACATACTTAGTCACGTGTACTGTATCATACAGTCTGTATGTTTTCATTTTCATGTTGTTTTTAAATTATTTTTCTAATTAATATAAAAAAGTACGAAAGTTACGAAACATTTGATAATAGTCAACACAATTATACCATTAATACGTGTAAAAATAAATATAATTTTTTTGTACTAAAAACATTACGACAATTTACTGTGTAATTAAGTCATTAAATTCTGTACGAAATAAAATACTAAAAATAGGAATAAAAATAATTTACAAAGCTCATTATTGAACCCAAGTTGTGAAATTCATTATCAGAAAAGTAATTAACATTATTGTGAATTCAAGAATGTTTATATTAAATATACAAACTATTTATTTATTTATTTAACCAAAATTATGGCACTCTTTAAGTCAAACAGAATAATATCCAACAATTTGGATCTCAAACTAAAAGTGATTTATTTATCAAATATTGGATTATGTATTGAAGATAACAAACTTCAAAAGAGAAGTTTATTACATAATCCTATATTAATATTCTTTGTATTAACAATAGTTTTATTTAAAAACACCATTAATTTATTACTTTCTGAAAATTCTGAATACTTTCACATAGTTTTGGGAGATTTCGCTCATTTATTTGGTATAAGATATCACTACAACATTGCCATGAATTTTCTCATTATATTCATAATGTGTTCACAAATTATTTATTACTTTAACTACAAGAGTGGCATAAAACCAACTTTTACTCAAGTATTTCATAAGATATCTGGATCTGAATCGTCCGATTCAATGGGTCTCGCAAATGAACCACAGGTTCAAAGTCTTGTGAGAAAAAGTCAATTATTGTTAAGAATAGTGGAAATCAATAACAAACGAGTGGTTCCTTTGGGTTCACTCGTCATTCACTTTATTCCTTATGTAATGACTCGTACTGTCTTTGAGACTATTTTATATGGTCTTACAAATACTGTATTAATTAGTTATTGTGTGTATAATGTCTACAATATTCTAATGTATCAAGTTATTTATTTCTATTTGATTTGTGTTTATTTAAAAATTAAGATGAAAATATTGTCAACTCATACAAAATCTAATCACTTTTCAAACGATTTGTTTCAATCATTTAACTCATTATACAATGAGATCAATGACTATAACACAACATTTTGGTCTAAAGTTTTGTTATCATTTTGGCTGACAATCGGATCAATCGTTATATTAGTCTTATATATGGTTTTATTCATAGAAATGGATTTTATTTATAAATTCGTTTGGATTTATATTCTGTTTGTGTATTCTTTCATATACTTCTTCATTATATTCACCGCTTCTTCAGTCAATTCTTCAGCAAACAAATCGCATAAACTTATGAATACTTTAATGTCATCACAAACTATAAGGCATTAAATGAATAAAATTAAATCAATATTAAAATATTCTGTTAATTAAATACTTCTCTATTAATAATTAAATTAAATTCTCAGATAATAAACAAGATACAAAACAATTATTTTTTAAATTTAATAATAAAATATTATTTTTTTGTTTTTTGATTTTATTACTTAAATGTATTTAAAGATATATTTTAATTATACAATTGTACATAAGTTAATTAGTTTTTAATAGATTTAGACCCATAATAAAATAATTAATAAGATCCCTAATAACTTAATTAGTAAGAAGTTTACTAATTACAGTAGATAATACAAAATACAAGTACAGGTTAAAATATCAACATATGTGTAAGCCTAAAACAATTTAAAGCTTTTTGCTATGTAGCGTTTACTGTATATGAAATATTTATTAAACTTCAATCATACTTTTATACTGAATAATAATAATATTAATATGAATAATATTTCATATACAGTAAACGCTACATAGCAAAAAGCTTTAAATTGTTTTAGGCTTACACATATTTATTGCTACCATTGTACTCTACTATGATAATTTATTGCTTATTTTAGAATGTAACCTTCTTACAATTATCTTTAATATTTTCTGTTATATGATGTAATAGTTGTAAGTAATTGAGTAAACACTTAATAATTTTGTATATTAATATAATTCTAATAATTCAATAATTATCTTAAAATACGAGAAGAAATTATTTTTTAATAGGGATAACGCATTAAGTTTTAATAACGCAATAACTATTTATTCACATAATGCTATATATTTGCTATCTAACTTATTTATAGATAAATTTATTGATAAATAATTTATTTTACCTACAATTGGAAGAGTCTATAATTTGGTAATTTTTTCATTAAACACAAAACTAGAATTGCAATTTTTATAAATTAATTTTATTACATTAAAACTATTTGAAGGTTATCTTATTTGCTTAATAGCCGTTATATAAAAAATANAATTTGGTAATTTTTTCATTAAACACAAAACTAGAATTGCAATTTTTATAAATTAATTTTATTACATTAAAACTATTTGAAGGTTATCTTATTTGCTTAATAGCCGTTATATAAAAAATATTTATTTTGTAATTATATCCCATTATCCTAATTATCTTATAACCTCTACTACAATAACATTATAATAGGTGAGTGCAAATTGTTGAGTGCATCTACTGTGTTACTGTTATCAAACTTATCTAATTAATAGTTATTAATTAATATTAATTATTAATAGTTATTTTTGGTGCAAAAAAACATTCAAAACATCGTCAAAAAATATCAACATTTAGTTGAGTGAACGGCGCCTTTAAATAGCAATAATATTACAATTCAAACAAATTTGGATCATTTTATTTGTCCACAAATTTCTTACTAATTATAATACTATTTTGTGTTAAGTCTCTTATATTTGTTAAAATGACTACATTTGATTCAAACAAAAAATTGCCTCAAAATGTAGTGATTGATTTGGTTGACAATCATTTGTTTAGAATAGGTTTATGCCTCACAAGTAGTTATGATATAAATGTTAAAGGTAATCAACAGTTGTTAAACAAACCAATTTTAATAACAATCGTTATAATCATAAGTTTGATTAAAAATGTGATCAGTTTTATGATATCCGATAATAATGTGGAAGTCATAATAATTTTGGGCGATTTTGCACACTATTACGGAATGCGACTGTATTTTAATTGTGGATATTTTGTATTCATTACATTTGTATTGAC